ATGATTGTGGAGAGGTTGGTTTTGTACAGCCCTGGGTTTACGTAAAGCAGTGGCTTTAAATAGTAGGGTGGGACCCCCAGAGGAGGCTCATGAGAGTTGTTCAAGGGGGACACATGACTTGGAGGCCTTGATTCCTCCTCCTCCTCTTGCCAAACTTTTTTATGTGTAAAATTTACACATGCATTGAGTTAAATATTGCATTTACTTAAATAAAACTGTTGTAGTTTAAACAATGTTATTTCCTTATAAGATTTGAAAATATGAATATACATGAGTGTACAAATGAAAATATGCACACTAACAAAATATTTTTAGTCATATGTTACTTTAAATGAAGGGGTGTGTAATGTCCACATGTAGAGTAAAAGGGGGTGGGGTCCCATGGATAAAATGTTGAGACTGATAGCAATAGAAATAGCAAGTACATTTCTATAACACTTATTAGTGAACTAGCACTCCCTAAGCGGTTTACAATCTGTAAGCTAATGTAAAGAGACAACTTTGCATGCACCATAGACATGCACAGACTCTATGTACTTACCAGGGAACTTACTCTTTTACACAAGATCATATGTAAGGTGCTTATATGCATATGAACTTGGGAAAGCTAGGAAAAAATTACTTTTCCAAGCTACAAATTCCTAGAGCTGATGGATGTGTCTCAGTGAGGGGCCAAGATAATGGATGTGACCTTATTTCACCTTTCATGTGTTTCATTGTATAAGGCCACATTTCAGGCCATGAGGAAAGATGAATTAATCCTACTACACTCTTCTTTTCTTATATGTTTGATACTGATTCCCCCAGTCATCTACTGAAAATGTCACTTTGCCTTGCTCTTGGGTGTTCCCCACTAGCTCTCTCTTGGATAGAGAGGGGACAGCATGATAAGATCCACAACCAGGCAGGGTGGAATACTCATGACGAAAAGAGTGGGCAACCATGAAGGTCCAAGGAACAGTTTTGTACTCCAGCATACTCTAAGAGTTTCTCAGACTGCCAAAGGTGGAAAAAATGAAATATAAAACCAAAGCACTTGTCCAGTAGACATCTTTTTTAAAAATATGTTACACAGCAAGGATGGGGGCTGTATGCTACATACAGTCATCCCTCCTTATCCACAAATACCTTATCCACAGTTTCAGCTATCCATGGCTTGAAAATATTTTTAAAATACATAAATTCCAAAAAGCGAACCTTGATTTTGCCATTTTATATAAGAGACTCTATTTTACTATGCGTATTTAATGGGACTTGAACATCCACTGGTTTTGGTATCCACAGGGGGTCCTGAAACCAGAGCCCAGTGGATACCAAGTGTCTACCCAATTCTAGTGTTATGATTCCACTTTGATTCTCACTACTGCATCCTTTGGAATTCGGGGGCAGGGGGTGGAGCTGCTGTTTGCTCAGAGGCACCAAAGAAGCTCTCTGGCAGAGAACTGCAGAAGTCCCTCTCTCCACTTTATAAATAGTTGTAATTTTCCCTTTGATTTCAGTTGTCTGAAACTATTCTTCCTGTTGAAACTGGATAAATCCTTTCTGGTTTGAAAGGTATGGATTTTAGGGCAAGGTCACTTGTATATCAGATATAGAGTGCACTGGTACATCAGACACACAAGCCTTTGCTATATCTGCAGAGATGTCAATCCCATTGAGTTCAATTATGTTTACTGCCAGGTAATTATGTATGGTATCACAACGCAACCTGGTTGTTCAAGTGAAGCTTACAGATCAATTCAGTCTCTGTCCTCTCAAAAGTAAGTCCAACTAAGTTTATTGAGACCTGCTCCTTTGAAGAACAAAGTTTATGGACTGAGCTTGCAATTCTCACTGGCCTCCTTCATCCTGCTTTCCTTCCCTTTTCCCTCCATAACCCCATGACAACTTCTCCATCTTGTGTGTGTGTATAAATGTGTGAGTGTCTGTTGGGAGAATTAAACGCCTCCTCATTCAGTTTAGCCCATGACATTTAAAGTTACCCACATGTTCTTCCTCAAGATTAACAGGATTTTTTTAAAAACAAAAACAACACACCTACAGAATGGAACTATCACTTTGTAAATCTATTGGCCCCATCCAGCAAAAATCACAGCCCTATTCTCCCCATGTTTCTTTGAATCTATTTCCTACTGGAAATTTATTGTTCAATAAGTCTGTAATCCTCTGTCATCTTACATGGGAGTAAGTCCCATCAAACTCAATTTGACTTGCTTATGTGTTGAAACATATCAAATGGCACTGCTAATGAATGATAGGACAGAAGCATTGAGCATTAATATTTCTCTCTCGCTCTTAGCTGGACATAAGTGCCTGTGACAATGAACTTTACTTCCCTCCAAGTAAATGGGTTTAGAAGCATGACCTGATGATCCATAGAGATTATCACACAAGCATAAAATCCCGGTTTACCTCTCCTGAATTCAAGTCTAATTCAGGCTGGATCCGGGTCCTATCACATGGCTTTT